TTCTTGGATGTTGGAGGGATGGATGAAGGGGTCTTCCAGGAGCCTTGAATCACCTCGAGGAGGTAGGGAAGAAAGGGTAGGAGAGGAGCGGGTGGGGACTCCCTCTGTACCCTCTTGAACACAGGGTCCAGTACTGCCTTGGAGGTTTGCTTGACCTCCAGGCCTAGAGCCTCAGCCATGCGAGCCATTTGATCCGCAAAGGCCCGGACATTGTCAGTAGGGGATGGCGGATCAGCCTCATAGGCATCGTGGGTAGGTGATTTCTCGATCCCGAGAGACAACACCGATCCCGAGTGTACCGATCCCGGTAACTCGCCATCTTCTTCATCGTCAGCCGCCAAGGATCTGGGAGGAGGGGATGAGGAAAATAAAGGGAAAAAATACCTGAATATACTAATTATTTAAAGTTCTTTTATTCACACAAAAGCTATATGTTGTAAGTCAAATTGTGTAACAGTAGCAAAGTTCTACTACCAAACATACAAGTGGAGATTAAGATCTACTCAGGCATGATTGGCGGGTATGAGAGAGGGCCTTCTCAGTGATTGCCCCTCGGCTATGGAACTCCCTCCCTGGTAAGATCAGATCAGCTCCCTCCATCCTTCAGAAAAATGGTAAAAACTTGGCTGTGGGATCAAGCCTTTGGGGCAGTGCAATAAGGTAGAAATAAGAATTTTACTCTGTTGATTTGAGATGGCTCAAACAACTGATTTTAAAATGGAGATGACTGATTTTAATGTTTATGTATGTTATAATTTATTGTACGTTCCAGCATTGAATGTTTGCCGTATATATGTTGTGCTCTGCCCTGAGTCCCCGGCAGGGTGAGAAGGGTGGAATATAAATGTTTTGAATAAAATAATAAATAAATACTTATTAAGGTATATTTATGCTTATAGCTTTTCCTTTTTTGATAGTCCAAATCTTGTGCCAAATCATTCAACTCATGTTGATCAAATCCCTTATGAACTGAGTCATCTTCAATTTCAAAATCTTTATTGTTGTATTGTCAAAGGCTTTCAATTTATTGTTGCTGTCAATTCATTCTTCACCATACTCCTGTTTTTTGATAGAAGGTAGTTCAATAAAAACAGGTACTGGGATTTCAGCTGAATGAAGCACTGGACGTATAGCTGATAGTAGACTAAGATACTCTATTTGACATTTATTTTTCTTGTTATATCCTGATGTTTTCACTATACAAATGCGACAGTCACTTGAATGATCTCAAGGCTCTCGCCAAACCTTAGGTATACCAAATGGCAATTTATCACATGTTCCTTTCGTCCACATTCCTAAACCCGTGACACACTGCTTGCACACCTTGTGAGGAGCCCAAAACATAACTTGATCACCATATTTTACTTTAAAATAGCTGATAGTAGACTAAGCTGTAAGTCTCTCTTTCATAGGATTGACATTAGTCAAATTTGGCTCTTGTACAGGTGTAGTTGAAACCGAATGATCATTAATGCAACTCTCTCCTATGCAACTGGATACTGTGGAGAATTTCAAAAGAGAGAAATAGAAAAAAGTGTTGGAGTGCTTCTAGAGAGTTTATTAAATATGTGTTTCAATTAAATATTTGCTTAGCCTGATAAAATCTAGGGAGGAGGGTCATAAAGTTCAGTAAATACTCAAACATACAGAAGAAAATACAAAAACATGCCACATTTTCTATGTGTATTAAATATATTTCTAGAATTTTTATTATTTTTCTGAGACTGCATATCTTACGATAATGTGTATTTAAAATATGATTTTCCATTTTCCTTTCTCTGTTGTCTTTCACTAACATGAGATCAACATCTCAAAAGTAAATTGTTTGATACAATCTATGGAAAATAAATGCACCCTTCCTATTACTGTCAAAGATATGGAAGAATCTGTTTTTTTTTAGTCATTTATTTTCCATTATTAAGTTATTGAGATTCAGTCTGTAATATTCTTAATCTATCAAAGTGAAATGTCAAGAAACGAATCTGTAAGACATGTTCTGCTCCTTCAAACAAGTTCCCTAATGCTCTCTAGTCTGGCTTTTAACCAACTCTGTCTTGCTAAGTCTGTCTGCATCTTTAATGTTGACATAGTGAAGTGACTCCTGTGAATACATGGCAGCTGGGTGAAATGCCCATATCTACTTGATTATTCATTTGAAATAAATGAAATTTAGAAGTTTGAGGGATGTCTAAGAATCCAATATAGACAAAAAAAGAAGAAGAATGCATCAGGTTCTGTGCTATGTATGTCTATAAGGGTAGCAGACAGCTGAAAGGGTCCATGAATCTACACATTTCACTTCCATGTGTCCATAAAGCATCTTGCAAAGTTTACTGTCATTTTTTGGATGATTTCAGTCCACTGGAACAATATTACTCAATATGATGGTCTGATCATCTGCTCTTAATTTCTACAGATCCCTGAGCCATCTGCTCTTAATTTCTACAGAGCTTCCAGGAAAACAAACAAATAAATAATTGTAATCAGTAGTCGCTTTAGGTTCTTCTGATGATTATTCAGATATATTATAATTCACTTAACATTGTTTTGTACAGTTTTTCTGTTTAAAGATGGATTTTCTAATCTCAGAATTAGTTTTTATAGCAACTATTGCTTTACATTTTTCCAGTTCATTGTACACTTGAAAACCCCAATTTTTTGTGTAAATTGATATTGAATTTTCTTATTCCTTTAGGCCATTTTCCATTTTCAAATAAGTTTTGTATATATTTGCCATTTGCCTGCTTATAATTGAAGATGCTAGAAAGTATATATGAAGACTATGAGAGAAAAGCTGATTAATCTGTGAAAGCCTCTAAGAAAGGATAATTGCATTTTTTTGTATCCTGAAGTGCATAAGCAAACAATTTCTACTTGGGTGTGAATTACTAGAGCTACCTTTTTGTAATTCATATAATTGCATGAAAAATCATAGTTCAGTTCAGATCTCATTAATATGAAACCAAGAGAGCAATTCATCAGGTTCTTGGAAAGGGAATGATTCCTGCCATCTATGTAAGATGCCTTGTTTGAATATGAAGCCTTTACAGGTTTTTAAACCTTTATACCATTACATTTATTCATGTGAAGAATAGGGACGTATTAGTTGAGATTGTTCTCTGTTGTAGCTCTATTCCTGGTCGTACCCCTTTCACACAATGGAGGGAACCAGCTGTGCTTGTATTGTTTCCCCTGATGATTTAGAACCTTGATGGTTTGTTTGGGACTGTTAACTGGGAAGTCTAGATGAGCAGAGGAAATCTTTTGAAGAACAGCTTGTATTCTAATACATTGAAGGCAGTAGGAATGAATGATGAAGGGTGATTGTTCTTTCCTTATACAATCCTCATTACATGAGGCTCTAAAACCTGTTCATTCCTCTTCATGTCTTCTCAAAATTAAATGATCTTGCAGTGAGTGGATGTATTCCTGGTTAAAGAGCATAGAACTACAGCTTGGCATTATTAGAACAGCTCTCTACTTAGTTCGTGAGTATCTCTTGGTCTATCTATCAACAAGAGCCCTTCCAACTCAGCTACTCTCTGAGGGCTTAAATGGACTTCCTTTTCTTTGAAAAATCATGGAAGTTAAAGCTATGTAATGTTGATGACCAGCAGTTCTTTATATTTGATGTGTAAACATATTGTCCTCAATAGGTACTTTGTCACTGAATTTTACTTAAAGTGAAATTGGAGAGAAAGTTCAACAAAACTTTGAAGTCTGTAATATTGTTTTAAGTTTGCAGTATTATGGTTTTGAAATAATGCAAATTGGTTTACTATGCCTGAACATAACAATCTTCACTTATTTCCTAATTGGTGTTCTTTGGTTTGGATTATATATTAATGAGAGGTTTGTTAAATTGTTGCTCCCTTACTTGTGACAGAGGTACCCATGGTTTCACCTAATTACATTTCATAAAATATGTCATCTCTAGGAATTTTCTTGGTTCCTCATGTGATACTGTAGTATGCTTCTGTCAGAGGTTACCAGAGTTGCTCTGAAGGACCCAAGAAATTTCTAAAGAGGACACTATTCTATGAATTTTCTAAGTTCTCCATGATGACACTATGGTAACGTCTGTCAGATGTTATTCATTTTAATTGAGGCTGCTGTTACTTTTTCCATGGTAAATTCAGGAATGGATCTCCTGTCAATACAGGGAATTGTACTGTATGTGTTTTCATATGCCTTTTAAGTAGTTAAGTAGGCTTATCAAATAATTTAGGATTTCTTTCCACTGGGTTCTTGGTAAAACTAAATTCTAAATTACAAACAATCCTTATACTAATCCCAAATCACAAAATCTTTCTTTTTATTTTCATTCGTTGTTCTCTAATTGCGTACTTCTATCTATTCCGCTGCACTTCTTGCCCTGGCTGTTAATGAATTTGACCTATCTTCCATAGAAGAGCTGCAAAACCTTTAAGGCAAGACAGTATTATTCAGCAAAGGTGAATACCCTGGCCACTGAAGATTTGCCATTTGTACAGATATAAATGACAGCTGGTCAGCATTAGGCTTAACTGCAGTATCCCCTTTTCTTTGCCAAAGTTTAGGTTACATTTGTCCTTAAGCGCTTACTAAACTAAAATGTATGTCTTATATGTTTGTTTAATTGGTAGCTTGTTGTAAAATGGTAGAGAGAAAATTTATCAATGATAAATGAGCATCATGGTAAAAAAGTGTGTATATGTGTTGCAATTTTTAGCCTGAATCTTTTTCAGAGTGGTATGCTTATACACCAAGAAATTTAAGGAAATCAGGAAATAGAAGGAACCTGAATTTATCCTATCTTTCTGAATAGAAATCACAGTTCCTAGTTTTATGTTTTAATTGACAGTGAGTTCTGTGTTTTCATTCTTTGCTCTCTTAATGAGAAAGTATATGTAAATGCAGTTTCTGAACCAGAACAAAATTGCTTTTGCAAGAAATCTAATTTTTTTGTATTGGCACAATATTTGACAATTTTCTGAAGATCTCATTTCCTTTTCTTTTAGGTCATTGGGGACGCTGCATAGGTGACTGTGGTTCAGGTGGTGTCCAGAGCCGAGTGGTCTGGTGTGTTCATTCAGAAGGCTGGACAACACATCATTCAAATTGCGAACTGACTGACAGACCTGAAAGCCAGAGAAGCTGCTTTAAAATATGTGACTGGCATCTTGAACTCTTTGAGTGGGAAGTTTCAGAATGGCACATTTGTGTTCTAGTTCCTTTTGCCCATGGCGAAGTAAAGCCAAGGACTTCAGAATGTGTAACTGCACAGCATGGATTACAGCACAGACGCGTACAGTGTATACAAAAAATGAATAGAACAGTTGTTGCAAATGACATCTGTGAATATTTTAGTCCCCAGCCACCAATGGAACAAGCTTGCTTAATACCTTGTCCAAGGGATTGTGTAGTATCAGAATTTTCTTCTTGGTCCGTATGTAACAGACACTGTGGAAAGAGTTTACAGCACAGAACCCGTTCTGTTATAGCTCCTCCACTCTACGGTGGAACCAAATGTCCAAATCTTACTGAATCAAAGGTTTGCAGTGTTCCACTCTCTTGCTCTCATGGGGAAGAGAAATATACCTATAGTCTCAAAGTTGGACCATGGAGTAAATGTCAGCTGCCTCACCTTAAAGAAATGAATATGATTGGGAGAACTATGTTGGATTTCAGCTCAGATTCTACAGAAAGAAGCAGTTTCAAACTTCAAGTGGTTGAGGATCTGCACCATTTTCACAAGTTCCGATCACATTACAATTCCAAGCCTCTGGATATAGAAATTGGGTATCAAACAAGGCAGGTGAGGTGTACAAGAAGTGATGGGAAAAATGCTATGCTGAGGTAAGAAATTATATCATTTATTACAGATTTTTGATTGCAGAATGGTTTAAGCTATCCATTTTTCCTAATACAACATAACAACATTGCTATGCACACTAACATTTTCATATATTTGACTCCCATTCATGTTTTCTCTTATTTAGTTGTAAGGTAAGTAAAGTTATACATTTTTTTGTGATCTTTTTGGTCACAGAGTATAAATGCAAACTGCAGCTCAAATGCTGATTTTAATATAGATTTTCTGCTTCATTTTTTTCACATTAAAGGAAGCTGATAATTTCATAGCCTAAAGTGGCTAAGGCTGAAATGCCCTTTGGCTAAATGTAATAAAGATTGAAGCTGATGTTCAGCTTTGGAAGACCAATTTGGACAGTTAACAATCATTTCATGCCTGAATACACCAGAAAGCAGGGTCATATTAAAGATAGAAAGAATGTTCAACAAGAATTGAAAAAAAAAATGATTGAAAATATATTTCTTGGGTATCGAGAAAACCCGAGGAGAAAGGTCCTAGACTGGTGAAATTCAGGACTTGTTCTGTGCAAAATTCAAACATTGTTGTTTTTTCTCAGAAAGCACCATTTTCTGTACAAAGCAACCACTTTTAGAGGGATACAATTTGCTAAAATTATAGATCACTTCCTTCAAGAATAAATAGAGTTATTGAAGAACTAATTCCAACTCAGTAATGGCTTCCATTTCCAATGGTAATTAACACAGAGAGAATAAGAAAAATATATTACTTGTGGACATCTGTCACTGTCAGGAATGAGCAATTATGCTCATGGTTATATTGGGTTGGATATTACTTCCGCATGATTGAATCTGGAGTACGTGCTTAAATTTACCAGTTGTAAACTCTAAGCTTTCCAAAATATTATTTGTGGGGCATCCGGATTGCTATCTATTTGCCTTTAGGTTTGGTTGCAAGTATGGGGAAAAAAACAATATTAGAAAGTTTGGAAGTAGTTTGAGTTTCTAAGTTCATCATGTAACTTCTCATGATATATAGCTCCCTATATTACCTTAAAGCAAAGGATCAGATCTTTTATTAATCTTGCTGAGGATTTTGCAGGTCCACTGAAGTAGAAAGCAATATATAGTAAGCCTAGAATATCCTGCTGTTTATTACAGAATATCTTTTTGGGTGTGGGGGAGAATGGGATTGGTTAGTGAAAAAGTATATCATTTTTATTGGCTAGACAAAGAATCTGTGAAAAATGTCACTGACATTTCTCTTATTACACGGCTTCCAAAAAATGGCCTTCCCTAATCTTCCTTACAGTAGTTCCACGGTGTTATAATTCAACAGGAGCTTCCACAGGTAACTCCAATTTATACCAGAAAAACTTACAACATGGCTCATCGACAACAAATGAAACTATTGAAACATGGTTTCACTGGCACACATTTAAAAACCCTTTATTTGGTGTCAAATAGCAGAACTTTCATTCACTTGTGGATTAAAAAATAAATTTCAACAGGAAGAATGGTCTGGGAAGAAAAAATCTACTAACTTCTTTTTCTTTGGCAAGAATGAGTGTTTTCCCCATCATGTTCAAGTACGAAATCGTTTCTGTGTTTTTATCAGTTGGTAAAGGAAGAGGGTCCTTCAGCCATCCTGAAAAAGGAGATAAATGGATAGGGCAGTCAGTTTTGGGTTCTTGCCAGAAATGAACCCCTCAAGAAAAAGTATAGTTGCCTATACTTTAAGTAAAGTATAAGTAAAGTATAGTTTATTTATTTATTTTTTATCAAGGGCTGCAGTTACTAAAAAAACCCCTTAATCTTGTATTTCCAGTCTCATTTTCTTGCGGTTTTTTTCCTAACCTCACCTTCATTTTTCTTTTATCTTGTTTTGTATCTGAATGTGAGAAATAATTTATTCCTGCTTCCATGGAATAAGACCGTTTCCATGGAATATTGCTGGAGAGGTGGTGGCCAGATATCCTCCTGAGTCAATCCGAGATTGACCCAGAGGGTATCGCTTCCGCCCACTGATCCCTGTTTTACTTTAAGACCTACCTTAAAGACCCGCAAATTGAGGCAGGGCTCTCATAGAAAGCTTCTGTCATATTAAAATGATAAAACAGGAACTTTGGAGGACCTCTTTCCTCTAGAAATCTCCTGTTACATAATGTTGATGTGTCAGGAGCTTTCTAACAGAGTTCGCAGGCCTCCCCACATCTTCTGCACCTTCCCAAGTATTTTTAAACTGTAGTAAACTTGGATTTTCAGGTTTACTCTGAGTTAAACCAGATTAGCCTGAGGCGTTGTTTGCACGCCTCAGGTTAATCTGGAAAAAGACCCGCATTATAGGTCTGTGTAGATGGGGCCTAAGTCAAAAAGAGATAAGATATAAAAATGTTTTTTCCAGATTGTCTATTAGACATCAACTAGATAAAAATGGTTTAATTGGGGAAAACTCCTCTACACTGAACCCAAGCAATCAAACACTGTGCTGATATTACCTTGTAGTGCTGACCAAGGCAATCTGGAGTGAGGTGCATAGATGCATATCTGTCTCTGATTCTCAGTAGTGCTGTTTGGAGTAACTTAGTGCATTTTTCTTTCTTTCTCTCCATTACTGTTTGGCATGGCAATAACATTCCATTCCCTGTTCTTCACTGCAAGTCATAGAAGTAGTCATATTCCCCATGTTCAGCAACTTGTAGGAGTGCGTGCAGCTATTGTTTGTCACCTTTCTATACAAAGCAGTAAATCTTAGGGCCAAAGATATAAGAGACAGCAGTGGTATCAACCTTCACAGAAGCCATGGAACAGGATCTCTCCATTGTGTTCTTATCAGTGCCATTGCAATGATTTATCATCCCTCATAATATAAGGTCTCCATAAAATATTTGAAAGATCCCACAAATACCAATGAAATTGGTTTGCATTTTGCAAAACAGAAATAACCCTTTAGTACCTTTGCAATTTTATGCTACATTTAGCATAATTAACCTCACATTATGCGTAATTAAATGCTGTGATCCTGTCTCAAAAATGTAACATCATAAGACATTATAAAGAAAGGGGCTATTAAGTTTATCTCTCATTTCATGAAATTTGCATCCATAACATATTTATTTTAAGAATATACACATTAGTGGAGGGCTCCTTCTGTATGCCACATTCATAGGCCATACTTCAGAACACTGATTTGAAGTTGCCAAGCAGTGGCTGTGCCACAAACAGGTTCAAGTAGCCTTGTAAAGGCTGTGAATTATAGACACTACTTAATATTTATAGTTTATTTAATCAATGTATATGCAGTAAGGCCTACATGTGCAGTTTCACTTACCCACATATGGGGAAAACTAGTCTCTCTAGGAATTTGCAAAGTTCTTCAGGTGATTCTATTGTATGCTTTCTTGGAATTGCCCTAGAGAACCTAACAAATTTCTAGAGAGGATATTCTCTAGATTTTTTTAGATCCTCCAGAATGACTCTATGGTATGCTGGGAGTGGAAGTCAGGTAATGTAATGGCTTTTGGCTGTATTCAAAGTTTCAGGTAACTTGATTTGGCCAGGAATGTATCCTCACTGAGTACAGGGGTCTTACTGCATTGCTTACTATAGTGAAGCTGGTATCACGGATCTGAGAATTAAGTAAACGTATCAAAGTACTAGGGCCCTTTCAGGTATTTTCTTTTTTAAAAATGCTAAATTCACTTTTAATGGAGCTTGGGAAAATGGCTGTGGGAGGAGGGATTCTGTTGTTCATGACCATGCTGACCAGGGAATCCTTAGAGTTTAAAAGAAGAACTCTAACTATGTCTGACTTTAACCAGACATAGATTTTTGATTCTATTCTGTCTTCTTGAGATTCCTTGCTTCTGCCTTGTAACTGAAAAAGTTGTCCACGTCAAACAGATCTGGCTATCACAGGAGGCTTATAGTGTCCTTGCTACCAACTGATAAAAATCAGGAATAAAAAAAAATAACGATTTTGTTTTCCACCTTAGAAATGTAATGATATCTCCCTTTCTCATCACAGTCTGTGTGTACAGGAAACCATGCCCTTGACCTTTCAATCCTGTGTTATGCCTAAAGACTGTGAGATGTCAGATTGGTCTTCATGGAGCTCTTGCTCAAGGACTTGCCGCTCAGGGGACCTTTCACCTGGATTCCGAAGCAGAACTCGGAGTATAAAACACATTGCAGTTGGAGGCGGCCGAGAATGTCCCGAAACTGAAGAAAGGGAGGCATGTAATACTCATGCTGGAGGAGAATATCTTCATCCTTGCCCAAGGTATATTATCTACTCTCTTAATTTCCTTATACACAGAAAGACTAAACCTTCAACACATCTAGTGATTTAAGGTGTGTATATGTTACTGGGATCTTATTTCCTGGAGCGACTACTCTGCATTGCAAAAGCGTGGATCCATGACGATTTGTGTGTTTATCTGCAGCAGGGAAACAACTGCATCGCTGCATCACATCTATGAAGCTCTGTATCAGGATCTATAAAAATGGACAGGTTGAATTTTTGTTCTGTCCCTAGCTGATTCTAATTTATTTCCTTGATATTAACACTGCTTCAGTGCTATTGACACTGGTTTTGGCTGTAGCTCATTTACTGAAAAGAGAGGGGGATGAGGTTATACTGTCTGCCCACCAGGAAGTCAGGTTGAGATTGAAATCTCTGCACTGCTGATAAGCAGTGCCAGACTATAAGTAAACTAAGGATGGAGTTTCCTAAGGCTTTGACTGGCTGTGTAGAGATTATCCAAGGCAGCCTATGAACAGTTCATTATCAGCTAAGACAGCACATCAGATTCATGTTATATGTATTTCATTTGGAGCTCTCTAGGGTGGAAGGTACTCACATCGTGAGTGAACTAATAAGAGTTTAGAGCAAAAATAGGTAGACCTCCAGGTACTGTTGGATTATAGCTCTAAGCATTTATCATCATTGGCTGCCACCAGGTAGGGATGAGGGGAACTGCAATCCAACAACATACATAGAGCCATACTTTGTCAGCCCTTGCTTTACAATCAGCCTCCAAATAATCTTATCACTCCAGAAATGTGTCGTAAAAACGACATCTCACTCTCCATATAACTAGGAGATATTGCTATCCAAACAGTTTAGTTTTATTCGGCATAAAAGAGTATAAGTGAATTTACACTTTCACTTCTTACCGTACTTGTCAAAATTAAAGATTCAGCATGGAAAGAAAGTACTGATTTAAGAGCTCATTTCAACAGCATGGGGAATATGTGGCATGGTTCTACAATTCATGCTAAGCTTGCAGAAGATGAATTAGTTTTTCTGCTCTAAGTTAAGTGGCAGTACAGTGGGGTGGATATATGATTTCTATATGCCATGTCAGGCTCTCAGTAGTTAATTTGAAATACTGAACAATGGAAACAAAAAGCAGAAAAAAACAAAAACAGAAAAACAAACCTAGTCGAGAGGAAGAATTTCTGAAATGATAAATCGCACAACGGAATCACACAATGTTTCTGGCTCTGTGTGGTCACATATGGCAAAATGTGAAATGGAGTCTCTAGATGATGATAAACCATAGTTTATGAAAATATAGCAAGGTTAGCTATAGTTGAGACATTTCTGCACGAGGCAAGAAAAATTTATCTGTCCATCACATTTCTTGTTACCATATTCTGGTTTCTCAACTATGATTTAAATAAAAAATGGTTACCTGGATGAACCAGAGACTATGTTATAAATTGTGACCAGGAGCTTTGTATTTTTTCCCCTGTGCCTGAGTGGGAAAAGAAGAGGAGGGAATGTGTGCAAGCCTGTGATCCTCTGTGTTATAATCCTTTAATGACAAACCATGTTTTGTTACTACATCTGAATAGATCCACAGGGAAATGTTAAGTCTGTCAGAGTAGAAAGACTGAATTGCATACCTCTTTCTGGATTCTACCAAATCAATTAAAAATAAAATTTGCAAACAGAATTGCAATTTAAGTCAGTTTTTTTTAAAAAATGACAGTACAAGAAACAAAAAAAATGAATGTGTATTAACTATTCCAAAAACTCCATGCATGCAATGTGTTGCCAGAGCAGGACTTTGTTGTAGGATTCTTCTGCGTATGTTGCTCAGCGGGATTGCAGTCTTGGATGCACCATTGAAGGTCTAAATTAAACATAGAAAATAGGTATAGACACATAACAGAAATTCCACTGCAAAAAAATTACCCTTTGTCCCCTCCTAAATTGTTGTTGTTTCAATTTGACTTCAGGTGATTGCTTCTTCAATTATTTGCTCAGGTTTACTAGGGAGACACATTTATCCACCATAGTTTATAATAGGACTTGTTTTTATACATCTGCAGATATGGCCAACATATTTCAGGGTTAACAGGATTTTCTTAGCAAAATTTGTTCAAAAGGAGCTTGTGTTTGCCTGCCTCTTGAGTCTGGCAGAGTGTGACTTGTCCAAGGTCAACTACAGTTGGTTTCCACTGCCAAGCAAGGATTTTAACTCTGGTTTCCAGAGTTGTATTCCAATGCTCCAACTGCTACATCTTGCGACTCTTGCCCTCCTAAACATATAATAGACAGTCCTGCAATGTTATTCAAAGTGGCAACTGCACCTCCTATCCACTCTTTCTCTTCCTTTTTTCTTTACTTATTTATTAAGAACAGCCTCTCTTTTAGGGTTTCCTCACTCATTGGACCAAATCAATACTTCACTGTACTGCACCCAATCATGCACTTTTTAACATTATGAATACCTGGTTTTATAGAAGAGTTGTTGTTATGTTATTTATTAAACTAGTAGAATCATACTAACTAGCATGATGATAATATGATTTGTATTAGAGGGCATTGGTCTAGGAGGCAGATAACACCTTCGTATGTGGAGGGTGGTATTGGAAGCCAAGCCCTGTCTACCTCCCTGTCGTCTTTTTATTTTTATTTTAATGTAGCATATGTTAAGGAATTTTGTTGTTTATTAGTAATGTGATTAATATTATAAAATGTTTTGTCACTGTGTTGTGTGTGTTTGTGTTTAATGAAAAATGTTTCTAAACAAAGCAAACTTGCCCACCTCTGCATGGCTAGCTGGCAGCTCAGGAACTGACCATCAGAGAAGGCAATCTGCACTCTTACCTGTTAACACACTTCTTTCAAACTGTGCAGGGTAGGTGTATTAAATGAGTTTGTTTTTCTAAAACATTTCTATCTGCTCATTTTAATGTGGTGATAAAACTTTAGCATAGTGGGTTAAAGTTTCAAGTATCTTTTTAGTTGAATTGTGATCATGTGTCATGGTGTAGTTTATGTAAACAATTTGCAAGCTTATGGCTCTTCTGAAGTAGGTGACTTGGAGGCTTTCTCTAAAGAGAAGTATGTGCAAAGGCTATATAGGTGGTGTGCATTGTACATTTGTGTTACTTTAGAATCAGCAACCTGCTCATCATCCTTGTGCATCTCGCTATCAGTAGGCTAGAGCTAGGGCACTTATATAAAAATGTTGCTTGATTAGATCTTGGAATAAAAGCCCTTGTATTCTGATTTCTACTTTTCCAACCCAATTCATGTCAATCAAGAAAACAAAAAGATAGATTGTCTTGACTGATTTTACTCTATGTGCAGAAAGAGTTGTTATATTTGCCAGCCACGTGTCAGAAATGCACCGATCGTTAGTTAACAAGTGAGAAAAGAGATTTGGATCTGCAGCAACCTCCCACCATGGTGGGTCTAGCTGTTGCTCCAAATTCTGAAATTTATTGTATATGAGATATATGACAGAAACATATTGTTTTCTGTTCAGTATATTGAAAATGTCTTTCTCTAAAATATGTGTGTGTTTGTTGGGAGATACATGGAAGTTAAAGCTACCAATATTATGAAAGATATTATCTTCCAGTGGAGTGGATTCGACTAGTGCTTATTTAGAGCAATGGACAGAGAATATTCACCCTGTATTTTTGTAGTGGGCGAAGATGTTATTGTGGGTGAATATACTGAAGTGAGGCCGGCAAGCATTTCTTCATTTCTGTGGATTTGTGGATAGTATGTTCTGCACATATAATTAAAATGTTTGGAATCTTGCATATCAATTTCCATGAGAAATCAAGATTGCATTTGGCATGGCGTCGAGATTAGAGATGGGGAAAACTGGGGAAAAAAACAGAGAAAAAATAGGAAAACAATTTTTTCAATTTTCTGAGGGTTTTTTCCCCAATTTCTCAGCCCCCCCCAAGCCCCCCTTCCATTGTTCTGAATTTTTTTTTCCAGGTTTCCCATCTCTAATTGGGAAGCAACATTGTTCTGGAGGATGTGGATATACCATGAGGCCACTGGGATATTCTGGTTCTCCAACACATTCCAATTTCAGAGTGTATGTGGAGGGATAAAAGTCTTGCGGAGCTTGCAAGGATGGGTTACCTCTACCAAAAATGGAGTGTCAGGTAGCTTTATCTAGGGTTTAACTACACAAGCCACCAAACCCAAAGTGAACTAGAAGTTGCCCCTAGAAGCCTGGGGAATGTTTAGAGTTTTGCCAAAACTCTTTAGAAGTTGCACTTCAGATATGATGTGCTGCCATTGGCACCCTCTTTCCTCTGTGCTCCTCAAAGTGAGACCTGCCTTTTAACTGTTTATCTCCCTTTTCTTTCACTCCCTGTTTTCTCAAAACAAAAACGGACCCCAAAAAGCATTACTATGGAAAGGAGAGATTAATGGTACAGGAGGAGGGACCCTTTATGACACTTCACCCTCTCTTCTTATCCTTTCCATAAGGGAATGCTTCTTGTGCTAAGAGGCAATAGGGTGTTACAAACATGGAAGCTATATGACAGTCGCAATGCAAGCTGATCTCTGCTGAAGGAAGGCCAAACCTGAAACAAACCAGTTTTGAGCAGTTTTCTCTCTCTTTACATTATCAATCTTGCTTAATTCTTAAAGTTCTGTGACACCACTGAGCATTGTAAGGCCCAAGTTATCTTTTTTGAAATTTTCTCAGACAATTGTGTCTCTTGTGTTGTATAAACTAATTTATTTTCTACTTGCTGTTTATGATGACATTTCAGTGTATAATTTTAAAGGTTGTGGTTTCTTTCTCAATTTTACATGTTGCCTGATTAGTTTACCATAATGTGAAATGAGTATTAAATCTATTAATGTAAATGAAGTTCCCGGTAATATGCTATTGATTGTTCCACAGTGCTTACACTAAACTTAATGTTTTTATTTCTCCTGTAAACTTGACCTATACTTGCATTGTAAACCATAGCATACCAGCTTGTCAATAAATTTCAATGTGAATACAGTACAGTGTCATTGTTTAAAAAACACAGCTAATTTGGTTATTGAAATGATTAAGAAATCATTTGTGGAAGGTCTAGTGTTGTAGTGAAACCCTTTTCCTTTTAAATGGCTTTGACCCATAGTAAAATTGATCCCCTATTTTTAAATATGAATAGCCTAAAGTGATGGCACAAAGCAAACTGATTCTGATAAGCTCTCATTATCAACTTTTGTGCTGAGATAGCCTTAACTTGGTTGTGTATTTTAATTTCTTCTCTTCCTAGTTTTGATAGTCATGCTCATTTAATGAGGATCCATAACTCTGAATATTTTTAAAATAAAATAAAACAGCTTTCACATTTAATGACATCTAATTTGTAGGAAATCATTGTTTATATGCTTGAACAGCAATTTAAAGCAACATATGTGTAGTCAAAGCAAGATATGTTAATAATTAAGCAAGAGTGAATACCTGACCTTGAATATCTGGGATTGTAAAATGATTTCCATTTAGCCCTGGGAAATGTGACAGTTTAATGTAATGGGGAACAATACACAGTACATTTTGGGTTGCTGTTTAGTTAACTGCTCCAGAATTGACACACTTGGCAGGAAAATAAAATAAAACACATTATGAATTTTTTAAAAGTTAAACCCATAAAATAAAGTTTTTCCTATTATGTTTTATGGATTGTGGGAGGACAGTTTCATATTTGTCATGTTGAGAGGTGTGTTGATTGTGTGCAGAACCATTTCCTTTCTTATATTTTTTCTCACTTTTGTTCTGATTATAAATGTTATGTGGCTCTCCAAGTGCGTATTATGTAGTTTAAATGGGAGTGTGACACTTAACGTGAAACATCCTTCAAATTAGAAGTAATTGGTATTTTTCCAAGCATGTCCTATACATTACAGAAATCTTGAGGCCTTTTTAAATAGACAGAGATTAATATTTTTAGCGTTGATAATTTAATGGACATTAAGAAGGGCATTTTGTTTGTAATTTATTCAGACTTTTCACCAAAATGTAAAACATTCTTTGCTGGTGCATTCAAAATATAGAGATGCAGTTACACAAAACTGGTAGTCATAACATTTAATAAATGGAACAATTGCCATTTGGAAACAGCTTTGGCTGTTTACCTAGCCCAAAGGATGGAAAATATACATTTTTTTGGTCAAGATATGTTCCTGACAATCAGAAAACTCAGTAGAGAAAATAATTGACTGTGATTATTGGTATTGGAGAGTCTTGTGACTAGCACTGTTCACACAAAGTAAACTGTCTATATGCCACCTCAAAATAACAGCAAATGCCAGACTTGTTGGAAACTTAAAGCAGGCCACTTCAAGCCTTATGGGAAGAGTGCTTTCTGCTAGATCCTCAGGATCTTGTAGGCTCTTTAATCTAATTGGAGCCCCTAAACACAAAAAAGTCTCACAATAGTCCAGAAGCCATAACAAGGTAAGGAAGGAAGAGAAGGTAAGAGCTTGAAGAGTTGGAAATGTAAGTGATGGCCAGTCTCATAACAGCTTTGGCTACATAATTTGAGATAATTTTGCTGCATATCAAGTGCTTAGTGGTTGATCTTCAGAGAACATGGTTGATGCCTGCTTTTTGAATTCCAGGTCCTTTCTGCTTTATGGATATTTTCCATGAAATCATCTTACAGTGCTTTGGGGCTTTTTTTTTTCAATGTCAGAAAAATTATGTGGGAAAAGATGTTTTCATCCACAATGAGATGACAATTATATTAATTTTGCACCCAGGGGCCAAATTTTGCAAGGACAAAATTGTCCGGGATTTGTATCTCTACTAGAACAAAAGTTTCATAGCATCAGTAATAACTTTGCTCATGAAGTTGAAATAAAATTAAATCAGACTTAAAAAAAGGATCAAATGAATTCAAAACATAGCCAGGGAAGAGTGCCAGGAAAATGTGGGATTCAATTATGAAAATACAACCATAGAACTGTGTTGTAGGGCCTAAACGACCTAGAGAGAACATATAGAGTTGTGCTGGAAGATCTAAAGGACATACAGAATATATTAAACAAATCTGCAAATAATCAATTTTGCAAAAGTTAAACACAATGTGGAGAGCCAATTGTGTAATACATTGCTAAACACACCTGTTGAACCGGCTTAATATAAAGGTGTTACATTTCTTATTCTGCATAAGGTACTCATGGAAAACTTCTGAATGGAGAGTGTGTGATGTTACTCTCCTGTTAGAGCAGCAGGATCCTCGGCATGATAAACAGGCAGCCCTTTGCGGAGGTGGGATACAGATTCGAGAAGTTTATTGTGCCCAGACCACATTGGATGAAACACACAAGCTAAAGGAAGGTATGTTGTTGATGTTACTTTGTGGATAACAAAAATATCTTTCTCATGTCATGTAGTAACATTGCTAAGTATGCCCAAAGACTCTCCCATTCATTTCAGTGGAGGAGGAAGAGCAGCCTTTTCACTAACATGATTTCTGATTAAGTCTGAGTAATCTTTGATCTGTGGGATATAATTAGAGCAAATCTTGGAATGATTACTCGGAATCAAGACCCGCTAAACTGGATAAAATTTGTTCTCCAGTAAATATGCTAAACACCTAAATCTGGTTTAAATTTATAAAGTTGTTCTGGATTCTATTTTTAAAAAAATTACAAAAGAGAATAGGAAACAATATTATCAGAAATATAGACACAGTGCCAGAAGAGACAATTGTCACAGAGAGGTTTTTCCCAAGACTGCCTGTGTATGCATGTGCGTGTTACTAGTAGGTCCAGGGACTGAAGCATTGTTTGGATTCAGAAGAAACACAAGTGAATAGACAGATGCCTGATGAATAATTTATCTCTGACTATTTTCTTTACTACACCTACCACTCCTGCAAAATATGGCTTTGTCGGGAGATGTAAGATAGTAAGAGCTCTGCATCTCAGCAGAAGACTGACTTGTTTTCAAAGGCAAAGCAGGTCTGTTTGAGGGATAAATGTTTGCCCCATCATTCTTACCCGAACATCCGACCTCCTGCAGGCTGATTATCTCTCCTGTCAATATGTAGGAAAAACTTTTTGCCACCTGTTCTAAAAAAGCCAGATTTGCCCCCCACAGACCTTAAATACTGCAGATCATTTATTAGAGGTGTCTTCATTAAATATGGATGCTGTCTTGGTAACATCGGTTAGTCATGACTGCTCTTGGATGCTTTCTTTGTCATTACTTTGTTTGAATAGTGTCATGGTCATTCCCATAAAAATAGACTACTCCCTTGAAAATAAAAAAGGGTGAACACTTGAGCATTCATAGAACTAAAGAGAAAACCAAAATCTGGGGCTATATCTGGGGACTATGTAAAAGTTCCTTTTCTTTTTTTTTTATACCGGTTTAAAATAGAGTCTCACAAGACAGTAAAAATCTAGAACTTGCATATCAGATTTAATTAGGAAAATCTGATTATCTAACATACATTGAGTACATTATCTGGGGAAACAATGTATTAAAGGGTGATGCATTTAAACAAATGGAAATGGCAGGAAAAAAGGACCAGTTCACACATTCATTCTTTTATATATTGTATCATTTTTTTAATTTATGTAGAATGAGATCTGGGTGACAGATGGCTTTATGTTTTCAAAAATGGGTCTCTACCTTCTTCTGAGGCTAAGCTGTCATCTAGAGCAGCATCTAACATTGATCTATCCATGTAATCTACAATCTCCACTATCTTTTTGGTCAACATGCTGACCTTTTTGAAAGAATAAAACTTAAATTTAAGATTTTGTTGTGGTTTTTACCTTGCTAGTTGTTTTGAGAATGTCCCCTCCTCAGTTCTGAAAGAACTTCAGGTACTCAAAATTTGCTTAGCATTTTGTGACATGTTGATGGGTCTTAATATGAATATTGCCCAACTGTTGACAAATATGTTAAAGAAATCTTACATTAAGGTGCTGTATATTGTGTTAACAGATCGGAAAGATTAGCCTAAATCCACTGACTAGATCTAGCTAAAGCAGACTCATGGAATCAGTCAATGCTCGGTGAGATAACACTTTTGTAAGTGTTGTTGATTTGCTTTATGGACCTACTTTAATTGGCCAAGTCCTGTTGGGTCTACCAGATTGATTTAGGCCATAGAGATTCAAGTTTCCACCTAATATCATGCCAGTATTCATACAATATGTTGGGACTTCCTTCGGCAATATTGTAACCTCCTGGGCTAAGAAAACCAATAGATTGTAAAAGATTCCTCTTATCTCTGGAGTGGGTTTTGAAAACATATAGGGAATTGTTTAGTAAAAGTATATGTATTTTTTTTCTTTTTGGATCTCTGAATGAAAGCAGTTTTTTCCAGTGCTATATCACTACTAGGAAACCCCTGCTAATCATCTGTCTGTCTGTCTGTCTGTCTGTCTGTCTGTCTGTCTATCTGTCTATCTATCTATCTATCTATCTCAATATCAAGTAGAATGATGAACCAAAAAGTGGGCTCTCATGGAAAAGAAGGCATACATTCCGGTTGTTCTTTGTTTTGGATGAATTAGATTAAATTATTTAAATCAAAAGTGGATTCCCAGAGAGTGATGCATGTGGTCTGCAAAGGGTACCATAGCAGAACTGAAAACTAGACTTGTTAAAGTTGTTTACCCTGTGAGAACTACAATTTCAACATAATAGACCATATTTTTTATAAACCATAGTTTAATATTGTGCTTATTAGAGCATACATAGAAATTGCTGATTTTGCATGCCCTCTTAACATCTCACAACGGAAACTGGGACACATGTGGCCAAACAACAACAGAATATAGGCAATATGGCAAATGAAGAAGGCCATACAAGCTAGGAGAGTCTGCATCAGTTACCTCGTGAAAGGGTAAGATTGTATGTTCCTCCTCTCCCTATGACATTTGCATTCTGAGCTTCATTTTAGTAATTGAAATTAGTTGGGAACAAAGGGGGAATGTGGGAGCAGGTGAGAAAAATTGAGGCACTGTAAAAGCAGCTAAAAACTGGGATGATGGGTGATGATTAATTGGTACTGTTACTGTCAGAGCAGGACAGATGCAGTGTATGATGCTGGCCACTCAATATTATCAGTTAATCCAACCTTGTTTCTGGCACAGTCTAGTTTAGTCCCTTCTTAAATCTTTTGGAGCATCTCCAGATACCTTCACAATGGGAAAAATGCTAAAACATCAAAGGCAGTGCATTGGTCAAGCAAGAAGTCAGAAAGGTTGAGCAGAGGCATATAGGGAGATACAGTATGAATGTATGCTATGTTACAAAGAGGAAAGCAAAGGCATGCTTAGAAAATATTTAGTCAACAGCCAAAGCAGTGAGATTCAGTGATGTAGCTACAGAAATGGGGAAAATATGGAGAAGAGAGGTACTAACAGTTAATGGTGAGAGATTCTCCTTATTCAGGAGAGCTTTCAGTCAGAGTATGATGATAGAGTGACCCAGATAGGGTGCTAACAATGCTAAGATTGAAGAATAAGATAAGATTTAGTGTAAAAATGCTCAGCTTGCTCACTGAAGCTGGAGGAGGAAAGGCACTCTGCTGGAAGATTTTTCTTCTCATTTTGTAGAAGGTAGAAACTTCTCCAGATATGCGCTGGAGCCAGGCTGGAGGTGGGAGATGATGCCAATTCCAGAAATATTAGAAATTGGAAATTGGTCGGAAATATAAGAAAAGATAGGGATGAAGTAGGAAGCTCGCAAGCAAGGTTGGCAATGGGCATATTGTCTTACAACCCTATAGTGAGAGATAGGAACAGAGTTATAAGACTAGTGGTTTATTAATTTACACGTGCATTTTTGGTTCCAGATGTGAAGAGATGTTTTTCTAGAAAGCCCAAGTCTTCCTGGTGAAGAGTACAATTGCACTGTATGGAAAATCTGAAATTTAAACAAGTCAAGAGTTCTGCAGGATAAGGATTGGTGTTAATTGATGGTCTCCTATCCAAGTACTTGACCCTGCTTAGTTTCCAAGATCAGACAGGATCTGATATCTTTAGGGTATTTAGGTCATTAATAGATAGAACTGGAAGTTGGAAATTATTCTGCAATATAGGATAGAATAGATGGATGTTCAGGGATTCCTTTTGTTGTGGTTACTATGTACTTACAGTTTATAATGTTATTTTATAGATTTTTGTAATATAAACTTGATTTATACTTTTTTTCTGCTCATAAAAGCAAAGGAAAAAATTATGCCTTGAAGTCAAGTGGACAATTAGCAAGATTAGGATGGTACTTGTCCTAGGAGTACATAAGCAATTGGTTCACATAGGAGAGGGTCCTTATCTTGTTTCCCTACTATTGTGAAATATTCTGTCATGGTGAAGAAATAATCTGCTTGATTGAAAAGAGGAAGAGCATATATTGCTTGGAGACCAATGAGATCAAAAGGTCAACTAGGTTTTTTAAAAAAGTAAAATCTCTGCTTCAGTGGGTTGGCATGTGAATGCAAAACATCTGTCTCTTGTGGAAAAGTTGCCCAATTATTTGAGGGACTATTTTTTCAGTGAACAAATCTGGGTGCTTTTTTCAGAAAAGTGCCCAGATTAATACAGTGAGAGGAAAAGTAGGTCCAGGATACAAGTGGGAAATGAAATTGTGTGCAAGGAAACAAATAGAAACAGAAATTTTGCTAGAAACCCAAAGCCGCTATTATTGAGCCGCTTTAAGTCCCATTCAGGGGGAAAAGCAGGATATAAATAAAGATTTATTATTATTTGTTTGTAAAAAACAGTTTCTAAAAAAAGACAAAAGACACATAGAATCCTTTTCACAATGTGTTTGGAAAGACATCCACCTTCCACTTTCTAATCAAGAGGATTATTTTTCCCCTCAATGATAGAACAAGCCACAATAGTATGGGAAGAAGGATAGCGACCCTTTCCAGATTGTTTCCTCTCTGTTGTAGCAGAGCACCTGATGAACCAACCTGGACACAGCATATTATTTGAGAACACAGAAATGCTGGACCACTCTGACAATCACCATGTCAGATTACACAGAGAAGCCATTGAAATCCACAAGCATGTGGACAATTTCAACAGAAAGGAGGAAACCATGAAAATGAACAAAATCTGGCTACCAGTATTAAAAAACTCTAAAATCACAACAGAAAAACAACAAAGAGGAAACAATCTGGGACATCTAATCACCTCTCAACAAAAGATTGCTCCAGGCACTAACAAGCCACACCAAACAACAGCCAGGTCATCAAATGCTAATCAAGGTGGTCAGTTGAAACATTCACATCTAGCTCCAACAGACAAGAGGCCTTTGTCCCACCTTGGTCATTCCACAGATATATAAACCCTTTTTCCTAGTTCTAA